TCGTCAGGTTCGAGTCCGGTTCAAGCTCGAACCGAACCAGACTCGAACCGAACCAGACTTTTTTTCGGAACCCTAATTTATATGTAAATAGAAAAGCAAAATGTGTAACTATAACAAGATGTACTATTCATAAATTGACCAATTCAAAATTTAACATGAATACATTCTATGTATCATGACAATAAATGACTCATTTAATGTTAAAAAATTTATTTTGATCTCTACCAAGCGCGATTTCTTTCATTTTACATATACCATGATTCTTTTAACGCGTAACTGTACAAAGTCGTCGCGACTATGTTTAGTCAAAAAACCCTCAAAAATACATTCCCATAATTCGTCGCAGTCGTCGTTAGTGATACTATATTCCTATAATGCCAATCACATTTATAATATCAGCAACATTAATACCACAACGAAACATTCATCTTATTATTATCCTCCTCTATTACTTTCTTCGCAATGCTCAAATTTCGCAACTCGTTCCTCCCCTACTCATCGTTCAGATACTTTTTCTTCAAGGCAAAAGTTTCCAGGAAACATGCCGCCGCCGCTGCCACCACCAAGAACTTCCTCTAGACAAAAGCTCCCGGTGAACATAACGACGCCGCCACCACCACCAGCAACCTCTTTAAGGAAGATACCACCATCATCACCACCACCTACAACAACAGCAGTAGCAGTATCAAACACAACGTTGCCAACAACCTCTAATGCAGTTAATTCTAGAATTGTCGAATTGTCGGAAAAAATCGAGAATTTTTTGAAAGAAGGAAATCTGTCTGAAGCATACACTAATGCGATTCTTGCTCCGAAGTATGGCATATTCCAGGCAGTTTGGCACCAGTTACTTATGGAATGCATAAATTCGGGTAAGACTATGATGGGTTTTCGGGTATTCGCAGAGGTATACTATATTATAAAGCTTTTTTATTTTTTTTCGAGTTAATATATACAAAAAAATGCAGTTTATAAAAATTTAAATAACAACTTACTATTAGTTTTGCTATTATCATCCTCGAAATCTATAAAGATGAAACGAAGAGGAGTCCTACCCAATGAACAAGAAATATATACAACTCTCATAAATGGCATGGCAACTAAATGTCATTTCCCTAATAACCTAGTCTACACTAGCTTTGTGATAGATAGCATGCGAATGAACGCGAAAGATATCTCAATTCGTCCAACTACTGTCCACGGGAACGCGTTATTATCTGCATGTAATCGCGTAAATGATTTCAAGTCATTACGAGAACATTTCGAGCGGCTATTTCGATCCGGCGAAATTTCGCCGAACCATGAAACATACACGATAATGTTTCATGCGTGTTATAAATCTAAAGTTGGTCCCGAAGGTTTCAAGTATGTGTTGGCTCTTTGGAATGAATTAACGCAAAAACTTGAAAAGCAGAAACAAGAAGACGAAAGTTCTGAAAAGAAAGCTGAGGAGAGCAAGGAAAAATTTGTGGTGGATGATCAATTGGTGACTTCATTTTTAACTTGTTGCAAGAATAATGGGGAAATCAAAAAAGGATATGAGATTATTCAGAAGGCATATGGAATCGATTTGCTAGCCAAGCAACCTGCGATAGTGCCTTCAGAATACAATCTACAGCTTAGTGCTAAATCATTGAATATTATACTTGAAATATGTCATAGAGATGGCACTTGGTTAAGAGGAATCGATTGTTTTAAACTAATAAGAATTAAACTTCCCAAACTAGAATTCGATATTGAAAACGTGAATACCGCGATCTTGTTATATAATGAAGCAAAAAATTATAAAGGGGCTCTTAGCCAGCTTGAGATTATACGTGATCGGAAATTGACGCCCAATTTGCAAACCTATGTTTCGTTGATGTCTTCTTGTAAACAATCTAAAGACTTGACTATGGCCAAAAAGTTAATCGAAGAAATGCAACAGTGGCAAATCACACCCGACAGTGCTGTATTAGGCTCGTTAATTGAGTGCACTCTTGGACAACCCAAGTTTCAGATCAAAGAGTTGCATTGGGCGTTGGATCGGATTGAAGGATTTGGATTGAATATTTCGTTGATGAGATCTCCTAAACCTCCTAAACTTCCGATTAAGATTGACAATTTAAACTTTTTGAAGTCGATTTCCAACGCGTATGCTTTTGCTTTGGATAAAGCTGATGATCTGTTGTTGGATAAGAAATTAGAATCGTGGACATTCTTTAAAGAAATTTATGAGAAAAGACTCCGAGACTTCGTAAAGTCAAAGGAAAAGAAGGCAGATGAGAATGAAGAAAACGAAGTAGAAACAATCAAATTAGAAGAGTTTGAGAATGAGGATAAGGAAGAATCTGATGCCGAAATATTAGCATATAAAAAAATAGGCTCAAGGGTGGGAATTCATGGATACGATGAAGAACCAACACAGAAATCAAAAGTTTCATCAAGACAAGATTATTTATCAAATGATGACGAAAAGCCAATACGAAAATCAAAAGTTTCAGCAAAACAAGACTATTTCTCAAGTGATGACGAAAAGCCAACACGAAAATCTAAAGGTTCTGCTAAACACCAAGATGATTATACGGATGAGGAAGAAGAAGAATCGGCAAATTATACAAGTAGAGGAAATATCAGTTCATCTGGAAAGAGATTTAAGGCTGATGCAGAATCTTACGATAAAGGAAGAACGAAATGGCAGTTTGATCCTAATGAAAGATTTAGATCACGTGAGGACAAATACGAGAAAAAAGGTTATCCCGATGGAGAATTCGACTCAAGACCAAAGAAAACACAGAGACATTCAGATGATGGACGAGAAAATAATAAATATAATGAATTCGGGGGATCAAAATCGAACACTAGATATCGCGAGGATGATTCATGGTCGTCTAAACCAGGGTTTGAACGAGAAAAACCAAGGTATTCGGGATATAATAATGACAACAATGATAATTATTCAAAATCGAGGGATAGACCCAGTTATACCGATAGAAATCAACCAACTAGATTTAATACAGAAGCAGCAGAGCAAAGACCAAAAACCCGTGAACCAGTACAGGAATATTCTAGATCAAGATTCCGTGAACAAGAAAACGACGAAGGCAGGCCTTCTAGGTCAAGATTCCTCGAAAAAGAAAGCGACGAAAGAAGACCTTCTAGAGCAAATTTTGGGGCTAACAGTAATAACAGACAATTTAGATCATCAGAAAAAAACGATGATGACGATGGTGATATCGATTATCGTAAATTTAATTCTTCAACAGGTTATGAAAAAAGACAATTGTCAAGGTCAAGAATTGACACTAGTCGAGTTCCAAAAGTGTTCCAACCAGATCCACGGGAACAAAGAGGTGGCGGTAGTTCAAGATTCCGCGATTCAGGACCACCAACATCACGATTTAATAATAGTGGTAATAGTAAGTTTGATTATGATGAAAGGCCTAAAAGACCACCTATGAGACGCAATTAATTTCTTTCACAATACTCTATTTATGAGATTATTATTGGATATAAAGATGATAATTATGATGTAAATTATAAATCTTATTTAGTGGAAAGATATATATGTAATAATGTTGATCTTTAAAAAATTTATATCAAGAATCAAAATGAAATAATTATTTCTTTTTCAGGAACGGAATAAAAAGATGGAACCGGTTCTACTAAAATCTTGAGTTCCAGCCAAGTTTGTTGATCTATTTTGGCATTGAAAGCAAAAAATTAATGTGTCGTTTTTGCTGTCACGAACCACTGTTATTACAAGTCAGACATTCATAGACAACCAACGAAAGTTATTTGATACGACTGGCATAAATTTTAACCTGGTGAAATTAAATTTCCAAATTTTACCAATAGATTTTTCGAATATTATTTTGCAATTCCGAGTGTAGAATCGATTCTTTAATCCCGACTTTGCTATTTCTGCAGATAATACATATTCTTTGATTACATATTTCTTCAATACAATAAAATTTTCCAGAATACTATAGGTTATATAGATTTGCCCCAAGAATAAGAAAGTTATACTCTTTAAATAGTTTTTACTCATCTTTTTTGGTATTTCAAAAAATAGAAATAATAAGTAAGGGCATTGACATATATTATCTAATATCACTTTGATAGAGATATCCACCCCCTAGTGTTCCTATGAACCGAACCGAACCGGACTTTTGCTCGGGTTCGAGAAAGGTTCGAAATTCGAACCGAACTCGAACCGGACTTTTGCTCGGGTTCGAGAAAGGTTCGAAATTCGAACCGAACTCGAACCGGACTTTGGCTCGAGTTCAAGAAAGGTTTGAAGTTCGAACCGAACTCGAACTGAACTGTTATACGAGTTCGAGTCTGGTTCGAGTTCGATTAAAAATCGACATATAGTATCATATACCGATTTGTAGCTCTAAATATAAGCTACAACTTTACTTATAAGCACAATTTATGGTATTTA